ACGCTCTTTTTAAAAGTTGCTGTTTGCATTGCTCATACAAGCTTACTTTCCAAAACAGGATTTGCTATTTTTCCACCGTCAGACCACCAGTAAGTGAAAATAGGAACGAGCACGTAGGACGGCCTAATGTAAATATGTAAACATATCACCAGAATGATTGACAGTTAGGAGGACCACTTATTTTGATGATCCACCCAGAAAAAGAGCGTGCTCCACTATACCTTTAAATCTGTTCCCCCCTTAGGAAGATCATGTCATGTGCAATCTAGTCTAATTTTATTTCTTAAGCAGTTAAAAACAACCACAGCTGAACATAGCGCTATAAAGAGAAATAAAGAAATAAAACAGTACAGACAAAAAACAAAACAGCAAAACGTGGGGAAAAAAAAAAAAAAAAAAAACATTAACTAATACTGAAGCTTTATTTTGATGCGACAATATGATTACAACAAATGCTCGATTTAAGTCCTAAACAATTTAACACAAAAATAATGCTAGAAAATGTGTATTCCCAACACAGAATAAGCCAGCCACGTACGACCACACGTCAGCGCGTTTTTTTTACGGTCACGCCTGACGTCATCACGCATCATTTCTAAACAATGCTCAGGAAAAAGCCACGTTGACGATCCAGATAGCAGAGTAGTGCACAGTTTCGGTCAGAATAAGACAGGGATTTACTTTGTTGGACGGTTCGGTTCCTGTTCGCAGCAGATTGTACATCAGAGCAGGCATGTCGTCGCCCCCAAAGGAGAAGGTGGAAACCAAAGGCGGACATCTCCCTGCAGGTAAACTTCCCTATCTGGCTCTGCTGCTTTTATTGCAACGCTTCTTAAAGACCCGAGGGCCTGTGTTTCTACTCAGCCTCCAACCAAGAACATGATGACTCCGATGATTACTCATGCAATCCTTGATTCCAGCTCATCCAGATTGCGTGCTCTAATGATCTGCCATATTTCACTGTTTTGTTCCTACTTCCTGATTGGCCTAAGATTTTTTTTTATTTTTTTGTGGGATCAGTCAGTGTGAAGCCATTGTTGTGGCTAGTAATTACTGCGCACTGCTGCAAATCTTTAACTCTATGGGTGGACAGAGGGGGGGGCAAACCGTAAAGCATACGTGGACAATAGTAATGTTTGCTGCTGCAGCGCTGACCGATTGCACACTTAGATAAACAATGGCCCTGTGAGCAGAGGCTGCCTCTTAAAGGACACACCGCTCTGTGTCTTTCCACAAACAAACAAGTGTGTTCATTTAGTGTGCAGTTTTTAATCTGCTTTAGTCAATAAAGCTTAAAGCCGAGGTCCTCTACACAGGGGCGGAGTTCGATGGGGGGCCAGTGCCCCTGTAGATCATGTCTTGGCCCCTCTGCTGAAGATATAATACTCAAATAAATTCTAATGATGATATGCGCTGGAACAGAAATGGTTACTGATAGGTCCTTTGGATTTATTTCATTTCTTTCCTTTACAAATACTGTTTTTACTAATTATTTTAAAAACAATAAGGGGATACCTTTAGTGGTATTGAGACAGGATCCCAGTTTTCATCTGCTAAATCTTTTTTTCAAAACAAATTGTTCTCATTTTAACGGCTGAATGTATCAGTTTTTCTTGAGTTCTAATTCTGATTTTATAGAAAACAGTCATTTTAACATACATTAAGTAAAAAATATGTAAAATTCCTAAATTATGAATGTATATTGACCTAATGTGAAATAGAATTTCAATTAAACCTAATTGAATAGAAATTTAACTTCATGCAGCTATCTTAATATATTTGAATCCCTTGTCCTTTTTTTTTTTTTTTTATTTCATGCTTTTCCGGCCTCCCATAAAAACACTCTGACCCCCTCCTGGCCCCGTTGGAACATTTGGTCTAGAACCACCACTGCCTACCATTTATTTCCCTCTAATACAGATAATGGCAACAGTAATACTCTCAAGTGGAATTCAAAATATTAAGATTTTTTATAAATTAACAATTACTTGACAACAAACAAACTGTGGTTAATTATGCACATCAATATACTAACATTAAAGATGATAAGTACAGAATTTATGCTCTTTTCAGAACTAGATTTTGTGTTTCATGGAGTAAAGAGAAAA